TCAGCCAGAGCGCAAGAAGAGCAAGGCAGAGGTCATGAAGGAAGTCGTGGCCAAGTCAAAGCAGCACAAATACGAGCGCCAGGCGCAAAAAGAGGACGACGATGAGCTGCGCGACGAACTCGACAAGGACCTCAACGACGTACTGTCTGCCCTGCGAGGACACATCAACAAGAAGCCCGAGCCCGAGAAGCCAAAAGACCCCCAAGTCAACGAGTTTGGCATGAACGCCGACCGCGCTGCGCTCCTCGCTGGAACCACACAACAAGATAAGGATAGAGAATACGATAAGCGCGTGCGCCTACTGATGCAAGATGAGCGAGCGAAGCCAACGGAGCGGACGAAGACGGAAGAGGAGAAGGCCAAGGAAGAGGCCGACCGCTTGAAGGAGCTCGAACAGAAGCGGTTGAAGAGGATGCGAGGAGAGCCAGTCAGCGATGACGAAGAGCCACGCAAGAATGCTGTCGAGGAGTCAGAGGAGGATGAAGATGAAGATGAAGACGATCTTGCCGATGATGCTGCTGAGTTCGGTCTGAAATTACCAGGTCAACTGAGACCAGAAGGCGTTGAAGATGAGGACGACTTCATCATGGACGACGATCTCGTGGCTACAGACTCGGAAGCAGACATGTCTGACGATGAGTCTGATGCTGGCTCTGCGATCGACGACACCATGGCCATGGACGAAGAGGATGCAGACTTCTTGAAGCACGTCATGCCAGAACGGAAAGAGCAGCCCAAGGCTGTGAACGGCGTGCTCACTCTCGCTGCCGAGCCTTCGTCAAAATTGGCCTTTACATACGCGTGCCCGCGGTCTCACGAAGAGTTGCTGAAGGTTTTCAAGGACGTTGCTCCCAACGATACCTCCACTGTCATTCAGCGGATACGTGCGCTCTACCACGCTGGACTGCATCAAGACAACAAGCACAAGCTTGCTGACTTCGCATGCGCACTCGTTGATCACGTCTCCTACCTATCGAACCAGACGCCCGCTGCATCGTTGGCTGTCATCGAAGCCATCATCCGTCACATTCACTCCATGACGCGGTCGTACCCAGTTCAGATTGCTACCAAAATCCGACAACACTTGAAGCAGCTTCAGGTATCAAACGACCCAACTCCGGGCGATTTGGCTCTACTTGCAGCCATTGGCTCCATCTTCCCCACCTCTGACCACTTCCACCAAGTCGTCACTCCCGCCATCACTCTCATGGCTCGCTGGATGGGACTTACCTCACCTGCTTCTACTAAAGATGTTGCAACCGGTGCATTCATCGGTGCGCTATGTCTACAATACCAAAGGCTATCGAAGCGATACATCCCCGAGTTCATCCGCTACGCCGGACTGTCTCTCAAATCAGAGCACGCCACACCTACTCTCCTGGCCGCCCACAGCAAGAACGTCATCACAGCCGCCGAACTCTGGAGCGCCTCAACCGCCTTCATCGAGATCTTCACCCCACTACTCGCCCCCCTCAAATCCGCCAACCAAATCTCCACCCACCAGAACCTCCTCGCCCGCCTCTCTCTCGCGCGCTCAAAACGACGACCACTCCTCCTGCACCACCACCGCCCCCTCCCCATCAAATCCAGCATTCCCAAATTCGAAGAGTCCTTCGATCCCAACCGCCACTACGACCCAGACAAGGAGCGCTCGGAAGCCAAGAAGCTGCAGAAGGAGTACAAGCGCGAGAGGAAAGGCGCGCTCAGGGAGCTGCGCAAGGATGCCAATTTCATTGCGAGAGAGACGCTCAAGGAGAAGAAGGAGAAGGATAAGGCGTATGAGACGAAGTATAGGAGGCTTGTGGCGGAGATTCAGGGTGAGGAGGGGAGGGAGAAGAATGCTTATGATCGGGCGAAGAAGGCTAGGAAGAGTGGTAGATAGATGGTTTTGTTGTGGAGGACAAGGTCGGTGGAATTGTAACGCATTTGTTATGGCGTTGACGAGTCGATTGTTTTGTTGCGGCAATAAGGTGGTATCGAGCATTGCTATGGCTTCGTGAAGTCGACGTATATCCGACTACATAATGGAATCACTTTTGACCTTAGTTTCTGCAGTTACATATTCACTCGAATAACAATGCACACGTTCTTGAACTAATACTGCTACTCAATCGGGTTACCACTATATTTACTTCGTAAGCTTGTGTCGTCAACTCGTTGCTCACTCTTTTGAACCACACACTCTCAAGTTATATACCGCTTCAAACCATAACCATGGCCTACGTCCAGACAAAGTCCGAGGCCGCCGCATCTACGTGCGAACCAATGTATGCTCTTGAGAACACCCCATCACCTCACCGACGCAAACTGACATCAGCAGAACCCTTCGCAACCAACGCAAATCCCCACTTCTTCGCCTCCCAGCCGAGCTTCGTAATCAGATATACACCTACGTACTAGGCGGCCATGAAATCCGTGCAGAGAGTCGTCCCCACGGCTGTGATATGTCCAGTCATCCTCCTATCCAACTATCCCACAACAACGACAGTTGGATTCGACCACACCACTTCCTCGCGCTAACAGCCACATCGCGACAATTGCGCTCCGAGACAGAGTGGCTACCCTTCAATCTGAACATCTTTCAGGCCCACCACAACCGCGGCTTCCAACATTTCCTTGGGACTCTGACATATCGGCAGCGCAACGCTATTTGCACTATCCGACTGATGAAGGTGGGCTATTACTACCTTCCTAGGCATAACAGGTCGGCGGCAGGGTTTCTGTTTGAATGTCGGCATTTACTTAATGGGCTTGAGAAACTTATTAATGAGCGCACGGACGAGGATTAGGGTCTACGTATGGAGGTGCCGGTGATAGGGGGTTCTGGTAGAGAAGAAAGTGGGGTTGAGTTTGCGGGTTAGAGATGAGCGTCGGTAGGACGTGGTTGTTTTAGGACGAGATATGGAGTTGAAGACGGTTGGAGTGGGATTGGTATTTGGCAAATCAATCCTTTGGTTCGTGTAGTATGATGATCTGTATACTTTTGAGTACAGAGTCTAGTCATTCATGGATATGAGGCTTGTAGATTAGATAACCAAATCGCTTCGCCGCAGGTACCTCGATATGCTATACTAATATCAAATCCTTCACTTCTTTAGATATGCTATGTCGTAGACTCCAGGCTAGTAGAAGATGAACAACTACAACTGTCTAGTGGCTTCATTGCATGAGTGTGGGGAGACCCTGAAAACTCTTAGAAGGATCGCCATGAACTATCTCTTGTGATAGACGTTATGCGCCGTAGATTCCTATGACAGTGGGTTTCGAGCGGGCACATCTCTCGGATTACGGCATGACGACATCGGCCTAGATCGGACAGGCGGGTTGACCCGACTTAACGACTCAGTACTGGACCTTCTGGGTGGAGGCATCGTGTCGTGGAAAGTAATTGAGGTGGGCAAGCGGTGGAAACCGAGTACGTAGGACTGAGGGTCAGCCAAGAAGGAAGTCGGAAAGCGCTGACGCCGAACGCGCGAGACTAGCTTGATGTGGTCGCAGCACCTCTTGGAGTAACGCATCCATATCTTTGAGGTGTGCATCTCAATCAGAGCGGCATAGCCCGCCGCCCACTCATGGAAATCTAGAGCAGAGCTATCGTGAAAACCCATCAACTGTGTTTTGCTGAGTTTTGAGCATGGACAAAAGCGGTATGCACTTCTTGTGTCCAGCCTTCCTAAAAGAACGTACACCCCATATTTAAGTGGCGGCTGCTCGCTTAGTAAGGACCAGTTTTCCCCACGTGCGGGCTGGCATCCTGCAAAGAACCTTAATTGCACCCACAGACATCTTTTTCACGACAAACAGCGCCGGTTCTATCACGGGCTTATCGTGGTAGGCTGAGAGAATTGCCCTGGATTGGATGCAAGTTCCCGTCGAGGATCCAAGTGCCGTCTCAACGTACCCGCACAGCCGGCTTTCCCCAGAGCATGACGTCAGATGCTATTTCGCGACATCACGACTGCGCTCAACCAAGAGCCTCGGAGTTCTGAAAATGCCGCCTCTTACCATTGGAGGATCTTTCCGTGCAGAGTTAATTTGTCGCACACACTGTAGGTATGCGTCAGGCTAGCTGCTGTGCTCAGCGTGGTTGCTCAAGACAAACACATGATGTAGCCGCACGTCAGCTGGGAATACAATTACGATTACTCGGAAGGATTTGGTGTGCCAATTGTGCCACACCTCAACCGTTTTCCAAGCTCACTTGGCGTACTCGCACCGAAGTCGACATCTTTGCTCCCGAGCACGCAATTCCGGCCTTGAATCTCTATTGGACACTAGTGCGAACCGTCAGCGACCATCACATCCTTCGCGCCCCATCCCTGTCGCCGCACCCGCACACCCTTGCAAGCTTGACCCATTTGGCATCAGATTGTTGCCGGGACCGCGGCGAAAAGCGTCACATCGCTAAATAATCACTTAGATCTGATCGGCATATCAGGGCATTATGTCACTTGTCAGATCCCTTCACTCGGGCTTTGCTTGGAAATACTTCCTACCCATCTCATCTTCTCTATCACAGTAGTGGCCTTATTGCCTCGACATTCCCCCGACTGCGCGTAAACTATTAGCGTACGTCAACACCAACTCCGATCCAGTAACGGAAGCGATCACGCAATTTCTCGTCATATCAAGCAATCCCGAGGCGTCGTAAAGGCTTCAGTCCTTCCCACATCCAGGGCACTCAAGCTTCCCAAGCTACCTTGACTTCGAAGCTCACAGGCCGATCCTGCAGCCCAGACCGGCACAGCACCACCGTCATTCGTCCCAGAGAGACCGCCTGCGATTCACTCCAAGCCACCAATTGCTTGCGCTGTGCTTGTTCACACCCGCCCGTTCGGTGGACAGCATAGATAAGCTTTCGGACGTCCGTCAGCTCTTGTCGTTGCTTCCGAAGCTTATTCGGTCTTGTCAAACTTAGTACTGGATTTCAGGCACGTGGCATTCCAGTGCTAATCCAGTGCATCTTCGTTCGAGCGCGTTGGAGACCTCTCATCGCAATAATGGCTTCTACAGCCAGTAAAGTTGGCGAAGGCCTAGCAAAAGTGTTCGGCATCGACTTGCACTACCGGAATGAAACTGGCTCGGAACGCATAACTCGAGGCGAAAGCGTCTTCACCATCGACTCCGCAGACACCTATGTTGAGGAAGAACCTACCGCGAAAGAATGGATCAAAGACACTCTTCCCAGTGGTCACGAGCTGAGAGAGTACTGCTCCAGCTTGTTTCCGTTCCTTTCCTGGATAGGCCGATACAACGTACAATGGTTGATCGGAGATCTTGTTGCTGGTACGTCACATCTTAACAGTATCATCGTATAGCTATTAACTTTTATCAGGTATCACTGTGGGCGCTGTTGTAGTTCCTCAGGGTATGGCCTATGCGAAGCTCGCTGAGCTTCCAGTCGAATTCGGATTGTACTCTTCCTTCATGGGTGTACTCATTTACTGGTTCTTCGCTACCTCGAAGGACATTACCATTGGACCCGTTGCCGTTCTATCCACAGTCACGGGCGGTGTCGTGCTGTCTGCAGAAGAGAAACTTGCTGGCCAAGACATCTCACGAGACATGATCGCGTCCGCCTTGGCCATCATTGCCGGATCAATCGTTCTCTTCTTGGGTCTTGTCCGCATGGGTTGGATTGTGGACCTCATCTCACTGCCTGCTATCTCGGCTTTCATGACCGGCTCTGCCCTCAGTATCGCTGCTGGCCAGTTCCCTGCCATGATGGGTATCACGGGATTCTCGACTAGGGACCCCACGTACAAAGTGGTCATCAACTCGCTGAAGTACCTTGGACGAACCGATCTCAACGCATCATTCGGCCTGACCTGCCTGTTCCTCCTATATGCGATCCGGTTTACCTGCGGTCAGCTAGCAAAGCGCTTCCCCACCCGCGCCAAGCTGTTCTTCTTCATCAACACTCTGCGAACAGTGTTCGTCATTTTGCTGTATATCCTATTCAGCTATCTGGCAAACCGAGAGCACAGGGCCAACGGAACTAAGCCGATTATCAAAACCCTTGGAACTGTTCCACGAGGTGAGATGCTTCCTGAACTTGGTCAAACTCATTACTTACATTTCCAGGCTTCCAACACGCGCGCGTGCCCAAGATTACGATCCCCATCATCAAGTCCTTCGCGACCGAACTCCCATCGACAGTCATCGTCCTCCTCATCGAGCACATATCCATCGCCAAGTCTTTCGGACGTGTGAACAACTACGTTATCAACCCGTCGCAAGAACTCGTAGCCATTGGTGTTTCCAACTGCCTCGGTCCCTTCCTAGGAGCATACCCCGCGACTGGTTCTTTCTCACGTACTGCCATCAAGTCCAAGGCTGGTGTGCGCACGCCTTTTGCAGGTGTCATCACAGCCGCCGTAGTGCTACTCGCCATCTACGCACTCCCAGCTATGTTTTGGTACATTCCCAACGCAGCGCTATCGGCAGTCATTATCCACGCAGTGCTGGACTTGATTACCCCGCCAAACACTGTATACCAATTCTGGAGGATCTCACCGCTTGAAGTTATCATCTTCTTCGTTGGTGTTCTCGTCACTGTCTTCTCCAGCATTGAGAATGGTATCTTCGTCACGGTGTCAGTTTCAGCAGGCATGTTTGCTTTCCGCCTCTTCAAGGCCAAGGGCCGCTTCATGGGTAGGGCCAAGATTCACTCCGTCATTGGCGACCATCTGCTGGACCCAACCGAAGAAGACAAGATGTCGCCGCCTGGTATTCGGCAAAAGCCCTCGGAGGGAGAGCACTCTGTTCGTGAAGTCTTCCTACCCATCGATCACAAAGACGGATCCAACCCAAGCATTCAGCTGGAAGACCCTTACCCAGGTATCTTCATCTACCGATTCAGCGAAGGCTTCAACTACCCCAACGCAAACCACTACCTCGACCAGCTCACCGACATCATCTTTGCGAAGACGCGCCGTACAAACCAAGCGACCTACAACAGACCGGGAGACCGCCCATGGAACGACCCTGGCCCTCGCCGTGGCAAAGATACTCAAATTACCGACGACCGACCCACGCTCAAGGCCATCATCCTCGATTTCTCCTCAGTTAACAATGTCGACCTTACTTCAATTCAGAACCTGATCGACGTAAGAAACCAGCTCGACAAGTACGCGGCTCCAGACACCGTCGACTGGCACTTCTGCAACATCAATAACCGCTGGACCAAGCGCTCGCTCGCAGCCGCCGGCTTCGGCTACTACACTCCTGAAATGCCCGATAGCGGCATCACCCACCGATGGAAACCGATTTTCAGCGTCGCCGAAATCGGCGGCTCCGACTCTGCTGCCGCGGAAGCAGAAGCACGCGAGAACCTCCTCGCACAACGTACATTATCGCAAGTACGAAGTCGCGATATTGAGGCTGCGCATCCCGACTCGGGCGATAGCTCCGAGACGGGTAGCATCACCAAGCAGCTGGAGCACAGCAAGGCGTATGGACATGCCGATGCGCAGGATGCTAGGCATAGGGGCCGGATAGCGGTTGTTCAAGGGCTGAACAGGCCGCTGTTCCATGTGGATGTTACGGCTGCGCTTAACAGTGCATTGGCTAATGCGCAGAGGAAGAGTCACTAAGCAGGGTGTTGTGACCTTTGCGTTGTGGTAATAAGGACTCGTTTTTCTTTCAGTACATACTATGTAGAGATGATATCTATTTGCGCTCGGCTGTTTGCCTTGAGTGTTGCTTTCTCTGTTCAAAGATTAGTCTTACGATTTGCATGTGTGATGACGTGAGTGTGCGATGTCGGTCTTGCTGGTTGCTGACGTGAGATGGTTCGTTAGGCGGCCACTCCTTCCTTTCTAGATTGATCACGATGGCAAAGGTGGGATCTGGTCAGTCATGTTGTCTTTGATGATTGTTTTTCATTCTATTTAAATCATTTTCGTGCTTCTGCTCCTGCTTTCATACGCGTGGGTATATGTACCGCGTCATGCCCCCCAAACACAAAACATCAACGCCATGCTATGCTCTGTCCAGAACCATTTTTGCCTCGCCCCCATACAGTGAAAGAAAAGTCCTGCTCCTCGTGATGACAGCCAGATGCTGCCCCCAAGATGTTCGCGCCTGCTTGAAAGTCCCGCTCTCTTTGCGCAGACGTCCATGTTTCTCCAAAATGTGCTGCCGGGGTTGTGATGTTGTAAAGATAGCAGCAATAGTGATTCCTTGCTCTTCGTGTTCCATGTCTGATGTCGTACAGATGACATCAAACTCGCTTTCCTCCCATGCCATGCGAAATTTCGTTTCTGTGAGCTCGCAAACAATCAACGTCTAGTTGTACGCTTCAGCTGGTAGAGACTCGCGGCTCTGTGCGAAGAGAGCACCAGCTTGCTCAATATTCCACTGTCCAGCTTCCAGGCACTGAATAGCGTAGTCGCGCTTAAGATTGGTTTCGCGCTGAACGTAGAGAATCATTTCTTCCTTCCTCTGCTGCTCCGGGTCGACAATTGCAGGTGCAGGTGTTGGCGTGGTAGCAGCTGGTATTTGCTGTGCGTTTGCTGCGTTGTTGTTTGCCGGCGCGTCAGGACGGACCTGATTGCCGTTTAAGATTTTGAGTTTGGGGAACCACGAGACGATTTCGTCTTGCCAGTTCGGGTTGGGAAACGGGTCGACGATGAGGTGTTCGACGTTTCTGAAACGGCCTTTCCACGGCTTTAAGGCGTCCAGCGTCGCGAAAGCGTTGTTGCTTAGATCCAGGTTTTGGATGTGGCGGAAGTGGTTGCAGAGTTGGTAGACGGCGTGTGTGTTTTGGAGGTTGTTGCCCGCAAGTGTGACGCTGTGGATTGCTGCTTCTTTCGCTTCTTGCGTTTCGAGAATGGCGTCGCAAACAATCATGAGGGCGGGAAAGAACTTCTTCTGTGCGCCTTCCGATGCGAACATGCCAGATTGGAGAATTTCTTGGTCGCCGGCGATAGTTGATAAGTTCAATAGCTTGTTGGTTGCATCGTAGCGTCGTCCCAGGAAGCCTTCCATCAGCGGATATGACGGATTTGACTTGAGTCTTTCAAGGGTTTCTTTGTCGATCGCCGGCTCTCGTGAGCGATTGTCTGTGCGATTGTCGTGCTGGAAGTGGTTTTGACCTCCCCTGAATCCTCGTCCCCGTCCTCGTCCCCTGCCCCGTCCGCGTGAAGACTCGCCATCGACCATCATCTGATCGTCGTCATGGTTTTGTGGTGTGAATGAGACGCTCCAGTTCCCGCGTCCTCGGCCGCGACCACGTCCTCGCCCACCTCTTGGTTGATCGTTCATGTTCATTGGAGTATGTTGGTTGTGTGTTAGAAGTGGAAGAGATTAATCAAGCAAGACTGAGCAGATGGGATTGTCTATAAGGTCGGAAGGTCTGTGCGCCGCCAAGCCACAGTTTTCCAGTTCGTCCAATTGTCATTGGCCAAAACCCATGGAACCTTCGACGTCGACCAAGTTCACTGCTATTGTGCTCTTGCTCTCACGTATTGTTTCATGCTCTTTAGTCATGCCTGCTTATTGAACATTGTGATTTGAGTGCAAACAATACGGTTCTCTCGTGCTGACTCCTCGGGTTGCAATCAGGCAGCAGGGCAGCCACTTTGATGACAGCCCGAAGAAATTGACGCCATCAATGCTGACAATGCCATCCGCGACGCTCTCTTCTGTCAACTCGGAGTGTGATTTCAGGGCCTCTGAGGCTCTGGTTGCACAATGCGCTCCATACCTACTAAAAGACCAAGTTTTGAAACCCAGACAATAACGATGAATTTGGATACAGGAAAGCAAAACACATCATCTAGTAGTCGACTGAGACCGACAGTAAAGTAAGTGTGCGTTTCATAGATTCCGATCTAAATGATACAAGCCTTGTTCAGAGGAAAATCTCTAAGTCCTAATATCTCTCCATACCTCCCACCACCTACACCACTCTCCCAGACTTGTAGCATAAATCTAGTCTTTCCGTTGATGTCCCGTGACGCCAAAAACTCCACACATGAACGCGCGTAAATGCAACAATGAGACGACCTTCAGGCAACAATCGTCATCTAGTTTGAGTGGATCTTCTTGATCCTGTTGACACCCTCGTACAACGCGCGGTCCACGGCCGCAGCGACGGTAAGAGTACCACCGATCACAGCGCAGAGGCCGACAAGGAAGCCAGAGAAGGACTTTTCACGGGCTTCGCGGTTGATGACCTTCATGGGTGAGATGTCCTATTGCAACCATTAGTAACCATATCAAGCAACAAGGAGTTGGTACTTGGGAACTTACATAAGAAAAGAAGACACCGGGGATACCGCCCCGAGCGTGGATCCTCTCCTTGTGGCCCTCCTTCTCGTCAGAACCACCCTGCAGACTCCTATGATGGCTGGTCACAGAGTACTGGTGCGTCTCAATGCTGCCCTTGTATGAAGCGTCAATGGTCGCGCCAAGGAGCTCATCATGTTTTGCGGAACGCGGAAGCTGGTTCTCCCAGCCGAGTGGCAAGTAAGCGGTCGACACGACCTTGATGAAGTACATGAAGTTGTAGGCCTTTTCGTCGGTATGCTGCTCGGTGTTGTCAAGAGGGTTGATGTGGTGGTTTGACCAACCACCAGCGCCAGAGCCTGCGTGCTTCCTCTGCATATCTTGGACAACGACATCGCTAAGCTGGGGGCCGAAGCGAAGCTGGTGAACCTTGTGGGTGAAGGTATGCGCGTACTCGTCCTTGAAGTAGTTCTCGAGATCGTGAACGTGCAGGTTGCCGTTCGAGAACGATTTTCCAGGCGCAATATGGAAGTTACCGACAACCTTGTTGACGCGGATGCTGCCCTCAAGACGGCATCCTTCCTGACGTTGCTGGTCGAGATGTTCGGCGTAGTGTTCTCTCTCGCATTGTTCGACTCCCTCTCCACGACCGAAAGACCAAGATATCGAGGCGTATGCGTCGCGGACTTCGTCGCAGGTATTGCAGCAGCCGGGTTTGATTGCGTTGGTGGGGGCAGGTGCGCCGTAACATTCGCCGCAGTAGTCGGGAGCAAGATGTGACGCTTCGTCCGCGTGCCTGAATCCGTCGTTAGCACTCTGTTGCTTCCCGCATATGCCTGCGCCCAACAGCGACTCCATGTAGACTTACAGATCCAGAGCCTTGATATCAATAACCTTGCTGCCCTCCTTCTCAGGGCTCAATCGCACCTTGTTGATGCCATGCGTGACACCCATCTGCAACTCTCCAGAAACATCCATGACATCGAGTGTGAGCAGCTCGCATGGTACCCGTGGGAACGTTACGTTCAGGGCAATTTCCATGCGCTCGCCTCTGCCCTTATCGACTACCAATTCCGGTCGCACAGTCACTCTCCTGTAGTCGGCCCACTCGCCCCACGTTAACCAGAAGATAACCAACAAGCTGACTATGGTGACGATTCCACCAGATGTAGTGCGCACGCGCGCATCTTCGACCGTCTTGGTGAAGGCGTCGAGCCTCGTGAATCGCGATTTGGCGGGCATAACGGCGGGTTACCGCTGCAGGGTAGGCGTGATTGTAGGAAGTTGGTGTGAAGCCCTGAAGCAGAAGACAATTGGGGTCGAGACCAGTGGGGTTGAGGGTGTAGCCGAACGTTGTCTCGAGACGTGGTCGTAGCTCGCGTCTTGAACAAGGACCGAGTTGACTTGAACTGCAAACGCAATTGGCGCTGCTTCTTGGAAGAGGTGAAAGCGAAGGATTGAATATCAGCACTGTCCGTGCAAAAGCCGCAGTATCATCGTACAGAGAAGAGAACTGGCAAGCAAGTCAACGCGTGGACGCGGCAACGTTTCGGCTGGACTAAAGGACAGCTATGCGACTGAACACTAGCTCCGAGCGCCGCACCACGCTAGCGTGCTTCGGGTAGGTGCGCATACCGAGCACGTGGAGCTGCAGCCCTGGAGTGGTTCACCAATACCAGGCACCGTTTAGTAAAAGGGGGAATTGAGAGTTGCAGTCAAGTTGTACACAGAATTGAAGTAATTTCATTAGGTCTTAGAGGCATGCAGGATGCTCCATCATACCGCTATTCAAAGGTAACCAGATTGGCGTTATGCCATCTGAGGGGCTTATTATAAATAGCCTAAGAAGCGAGAACGTTCCTGAGCATGCTGTTGAAACCATCACTGAGCTTGTATAGCTCCACGATAGGTGGCTTCTTCGGTTCGCCTGCTTTTCTCCGAAGCTTCTCAGCAGCGCGCGCTCGGCTCTTGCGCTCAGCTTCAATTGGATCTGCGATATCTGTATCGTCCATGTCTTCCGAGTCGGTGGAGTCGCTACCGTCATCATCGAGTTCAAGATCCTGGAGGTCCATCTGTATCTCGTTAGTGTATGGCCAATATGTTGTCAGAGAGGAAAACGAACCGCGTTCAGCCCAAAGTCGCTCGACTTGAAGCCGGCGATACCACCCATAAGCGGATCAGGGTCATCACCACCGCTCGCCATCTTTTGCCTTGTCTTGTCCGAATGCCACTTCTTCCTCGCCATCTGCCACTTGATCAGGCTGTTGATCTCACGAATGGCCTTGTTCTTGTCGATCATATTTGAATCGATTCCACCCTGGAAGAGCGCATTCATATCAAGCTTACCGCCACTTCCAGGGCC